GCCAGCCGAAACCGGTCGGATCAAAAAAAAAAAAAAAAAAAAAAAAAAAAAAAAAGTGTTTGCGGGAGGTGTTCTGTTGCAGCAATGAGTTGACATTCCGATGGGGAAGTCTTCAGGTCCTGCTCTCGCCTGCTTACTCTGTGCTTGTAATGAGTTCAGCTTTTTGTCCTCACTCAAACCTACTCTTCATTCTGGGTTTTATGGTTTTNAAAAAGAAAGGAAACCGGTCGGATCAGCCACGTTAACAGCGGTGCCCGTCATTTTTCATGATATATTTTTACGCGGGCTTCCGCGTTTGGGTTCCAATTTGCCATCCGTTCTACCTTGCTTTACCTTCTTCTTCTTCTTCTTCTTCCTCTTCTTCCTCTTCTTCTTCTTCTACATGGATGTTACAGCTGAGTGATTGCTACTGTCGTCTACACTTACTTGCTGCATGCTGTTGTCCACGACAACTACTGCGGCAGTTCCTGTAGTGAAAGCGGCAGGCGCAGCTCCAGGTACTGGTCGTTTAAGTTGTGGTGGTGCCTTTTGCATGGAGTGCCTGCAGCATTATTAGGTCCCGCGGCTGGTGTGTTCCGAATAGTACGTGTGTCTCTGTGTTTTCTAGTGGGGTGTGTCTCTGTGTTTTCTAACGGGGTGTGTCTCTGTACTTTCTAGTGGGGTGTGTCTCTGTGTTTTCTAGTGGGGTGTGTCTCTGTGTTTTCTAGTGGGGACAGACATTAGTCGGGTGGCTTTCTGACTCCTGATGGTGATGTGAATTCACAGTCTGCTGAGTTGTCCTTATGATGTGAGGGATGGGTTTCTGTGTTGCTGCATCTGCTTGCAGCTGTGTCCGTATCCTGCCTGCCCTCCCGCGGCTTGCCTGGCAGCTTGCCTCAATATGTGCTGCCTGCCCTCCCGCCCGGTCGCCTGTCCGCTTGCCTCGCTATGTGCTGCCTACCGTCTTCCTCCGAAAAAAACACACACTCTCACTAAGCAAGACCGGACCGGGAAGATCGGTTGTATACATTCATTATCCGGGAAGAGGGTAGTACTACTGTGTTGAGTGCTTTGCTGTACGGTCTGCCATCGTCATTATTTTTTTGAGTGTATAGCTAGGTTACCAGAGTGGGCCGGGGTCACTTGCCCGGCCAGGCCAAAAAAAAAAAAAAAAAAAAGTAAAAAATAAAATAAAATAAAATAAAATTATTTATTAATTGGTGAAGAATTTCGATGTAACCCTGAGGCAAAAGTTGTTCAGTTTATTTTTCTGCATAACTCAGTTTTTTTTTTGGATTTTTTGGATTTCTTTTTTTTCTTTTTTTTTTGCTGGGACCTTGCACGGGCTGCCCACCCGGGACCCGGGCGGCCCGGCTGGTAGCCTAGGTGTATAGCGATTTTGACAACACACACACACACACACACACACACACACACATCAGGTCTGTTTATCAACAGCTGAATGTGCAATCACGGACATCATCACACAGACGTGCGCGCGTGCACACACACACATTTTCTTGAGGTATCATCAGCGTATTGACAGCCCCAGCTTATTTCAATCTGGATTCCAGCTCACAGCTCAGGGCTGTTCGTGAACAAGCTACCTTACATTTAGTACTCTTAGGGCATACTCACCCAAGTTTTTTCCTGGATGCGCATCTCACTGCAATTCTGGCCCGTCCTGGATGCATCTGATCGCAATTACGTCCAGGGAGGAGTGGAAACAGTCCGATTTGAATACGCCCTTAGTTTGCACAGGGCTTCAGCCTATAGGTGTCCACAATGCTTTTGCATTGTCTGATGGGAAAAAAAAAAAAAAAAAAAAAAAAAAACCCACGAGGAAAAAGGAATATGCCCCTGCATGCAGAGCCTCGCGCAACGTGCCTCGCGCCACTACTCAGCAAATGTGCAAAATGAGAATGAATCTTCCTTGTAAACATGAGAAGATACGTCGCCATCTTCTTTGCGCTTTCTGGATCTGATGAGCAGAGTTACGTCCATCACACCAAACCACAGAGATCATTTCCTAAAAGGGAAAGCTTTCATCCTTTCTTTTGATCTTGCCTCTCAGGGCCCCTATTCACTCTACCCTTCGTCCCCCGAATACAACGTACTGTCATTATAGCTGTATTTAGACTGAAATATACCTATACAAAAAAAAAAAAAAAAAAAAAGACAGAGAGAGGCCTGCTGGTAAACTTACTATTCTTAGTATACGTATGTAAAAAAAAAAAAAAAAAAAAAAAAAGTGATCCGGCCTTGTATAGGCTTGGCGCGCTTTGAACGTGTTAATCAAATGAAGATTTAATCGTCGCAGATGGGTGGGTGTTGGGGGAGGGGGTGGGGGCGAAGGGGATTGCTGAGAGCAATATAGGGCCTCGCCACACCACTGCGGAAAATAAAAAAGTACGACTGCATGTTCCCGCTGGGAGTGGCCATGTGCATTCGTCACTATCAAAAAATAGCAACGGATGCATCGAGCCACTTTCTGAGGAAAATGCACTCGTACGTTTCGCGTATCGACAATAGTGTCGCGAGGCAAGTACAGTGGTTCGTCTGTTTTTTTTGTTGTTGTTTTTTTTTTTTTTTGTTCTTTTTGGTTGATCTTAGCCAATAAGGCCGATTTTTTTTTTTTAATTTTTTTTTTGTTGATTTGGAGCATTTCTCGATTTTTTGCGTGTCATCCTTTTTATTTTTATTATTATTATTTTCTTTATTTCCGATCATATGAATATTTGCGTGTCATCCTTATGCAGGGGGCCATGCTAATCTCTTCGACGTTATTATGCTGTAAATAAATTCCGATGACGTCCACCCATTTTCTAAGGTCAAGCACAACCTACGTGCTTAGCTGGCTGCAGTTCGTAGATTCACGTCCTCGGAGTCGGTATCCCGACCAACACCGAACGGGCTCCTCAGCACAGAGGGTCTCCCTCCTTTACTCTCCACATGCACAAGACACAGAAAAAAAAATTAACATCGTGTATCTTTCCCCTGTCTAGCGGAAGATTCATTATCATTATCATTTCCCACATTTGGTGAGTAGTGGAGCGAGGTCCATAGTGTCCCCGAGCAACCCTCTTTTGCTGCTGAGGAAGACACGTGTCAACCCAAAACGACCTCTCTGACATGAGTGACCGTTCTTTCTAATATATATATATATATCTATGTATATATCTATAGATATATCTATATATATCGTCACAAATAGAACTGCCCGGTAAACCGTAGGCAGAGAGAGAGAAGAGGACAACAAACGAGGGGCTGTGACAAACTGTTTCGTCGGAGGTTATATATCGTCAAAATCAACAAACAGAGCTGCCTACGGTAAACCATAGGCAGGCAGAGAGGGACAAGAGGGAGAAGAGGACAAGAAACGAGGGGCTGTGACAAACTGTTTCGTCGGAGGTTCACCTACCGACTCATCAAGCAGCAGGAGGCTGAACCCTCATAAACAATCTGCAGAAAAAATCCCCTATTAACTGATTACACTAAGGAAGTGATAATCCACCTTGACCCCGGTTGTGGTTAAAGCATCAATGACTGCCCGACAACTGATACCCCTCTGAGGTGGTGGGGACCACCAACCACTGCCCTCAAGTTACCTGTGACGAAAATCAAAGCAGACTATCACTCACCCACACCAGATGGAAAACTCCACAGACTGTCGGTTCGTATATATGTATATGCATCGTCAAACAGAGCTTCCCGGTAAACCGTAGGTATAAATATATATATATATATTGTCACAAGAGTATCAGATATTTATATTTATGTATACATATATATATATATATAGATATATATATATATATTATTTTTATTATAAGCAGTGACACGTGTCATCCATTGGTGGTCGCTGACTCCTTACACTTGCATCAGTCCATCCCATCCACACCTATGAAGTGTCGGTATACAGACCGAATGAATCTTCCTCAATTCGCGGGAAGATTCACGTGACGGAACCTGACGTGTAACACGACGCCGAGCTGTGCCTAAGACGATCTGTAACGGATTTGATGACACGTGTACGGAAAGGAGGTCTGCGAGATCGGTTAAGTGTCCGTCTATGAGAGGGACACTTTAAGATGTTAGATCATTAGTCTGCGAGGTTAGTGAGCGTATCTTGGTTAATAATTTCTTTATTAATTTACTTTTTATTCCAAAAAATGCTATACTAGAGAAGAGAGATAGACAGTGCTTGTCTGAGAGATTGGTGAGTGTCTATCTGTGAGCGGTGAGCCGTCGATCCATCCTTTCGACGGCTCGTTCATCGGTCGATCCATCGGCCCCTCTTTCATCCCAATTACAAGCAGTCAGCGCCCCACGTACAGGACAGATATCTTTGACGTGTAAGTGTAAGTGGAAATCATGGGCCGGCAAATGCAGGCAGCAACGAGGTTGCTTGCTGCTCACAGGCGGATATAAGTGCGCACCCAAACACGCACATAGCGCGCGCCCGCGTGTGGG